CCCCTCCCCCCCCACCCCCTGGCCCCCCCCCCCCAACCCCCCCCCCAAGCAGCCTCTCATCCTGCGCAAGGAGGTGCCCTTCCCCCGTGCCTGCCCCCCGCCCCCCACACACACAGAGTGAAGGAATGTGCATTCTGAGCCAGGGGCCCACTCACCAGGGGGTTGTCGAAGATCTGCCAGAGGTCAGGGTGCAGGTGGTCTGTGTCATACCGGGAAGTGGCCAGGAGCCGGCCAAATTCATGCTGGTTGCTGAGGTGGAGGAAGATGCCCTGGAGTAGGAGTGGGGATGCATGTGATGACGGAGACGCTTGGCAGGGTCCCCCAACATCTCACCCCAGAGTCCCCGGCCTGACTGCTGCTCACCTTGTCCCGCAGGGTCTTACAGAAGGCCATGTCTGGGTCTGTGTCGCTGCCTGAGAACACCTCTCTCTGGGGCAGCTCTGTCCTCAGGGTCTCCCCACGAATCACATATGCCTGGGATATGTACGGCACATTCCACACACCCCTGGAGGCACCAACACTAGGGTCAGCTAGGTGGATGGCCTCCAAGTTCTGCCTGGTTCATCTCAGGACTCCTTCCCTCCGGGCCGCCCAGTCCCTGAGCCTGTCCCATGGCCCGCATGTCCCCCATACAGCACTGCTGGTCAAAACCACCTCATTCCCTGATCTGTGGTCGCCTCTACCCCAGCCAAGGCATGTCTGATGACCACAGTGGTCCGAGAGTAGGGGGCTAGGAAGAGGGTCTGGTGTCTGCTCAGGCCCCAGTCAGAGGAGGGACTGCAGGCAGGACTCACACTCGCTTCCGCTGTACCAGCTCCACGTAGTCTTCCGAGCGGGCGTAGTACTCGTCAGGGCTCAGGGCTCCCCAGAAGTTGGACCACAGCTTGCCGTGACGGGACAACATGGGTGCTATCACCTTTCTGTGGACAAGGTGGGGATGAGGGCTGGACAAGAGGAAGGCCTCGGGAGCCCCGAGCCCAGGGCAGGAGGAGTGGGGGTCCTGGGGCACTCAGGCTGAGCAGGGCAGCCACCTGTCCTCTTCAATGAGGATGCGCAGGGTCTGCTGGTTGGTGAGGACGGTGTCAGCATCCAGGCTGAAGTAGAACTCACACTCGGGGTCTTGCCGACAACTGTCCCTGGAGGTGACAGACCCACAGAGATGAGCTGAGATGGGAGCAATTGGGGGAGGAAGGGACTATAGGGTGGGTGGTTCCCCCCTGCCCCAACGAGCAAGCTAGGGTCTTTCTTCCTTAGAGTCTCTGTTGTCTGGACAAGGCAGGGGACAGCAACTAAGGTGCTGGGCAGGAAGGGGCCTGGCAGTGGTGGCAACCTGCCCTTGACCCTTGCCCCCATGCCCTCCACCTGGTGTTTGCTCACATGGCCATGTCTCTGGCCTCGCCTGGACTCAGGGCCTCTTCTGGCCCTACCAGCTTCACATCTGAGAAGTGGTCTTGGAGCTCTGGCCAGAAGTCTGCAATGTGAGGTTCATGGTACACCTCCTAGGGCAGGAGAGATGGAAAAGAGGGTGTCTGGGATGGGGAGGGGAATGGAAAGGGCGCAGGACAGAGTTTGGGTGGTGGGCAGGGGACAGGTCTCTTGGGAGGGTCCATCAGGGTGTCTCACATTGTTGTGCAGGAAAAGGGTGACCCTGTCAGGAGGGTAGTCCAGGAGCAGCAGTCGCTGCAGGAAGCGGGGCAGAAACGGGGTGGGTTGTTCCACAAACACAGCTAGAAGCACCCGGGGGGGAGGCTGGAAGACACAATATGACAGGCTCAGAGGAAAGCCCAGGCCCCCTGCTTTGCCCCCCACTACCCTTGCTAGTCTCTGCCTACCCTGCCAGATTCAGGGTACCCAGGAACTTTGTCCTCACTGCTGCCCAGATGCTCTCCCTGCACCCTGTGCCTCAGTGCGCTCCCATGCCCCCCATGCCTCTGGCCCTCCTCACCTGCCCCCCCGGGAGTGTCCTCCGATCCCGGTTGCAGAACCCACAGCCTCCCTCGGGAGTCCAGCCATTGGGGACGTAGTTTCCCAGGTAGTTCAGCTGGAGCTGGTGGGTAAAGATGATGAGCAGCTGAGACCACCGAGTCCAGCGGCGGACGTGGGGGACTCAGGGAGACAGAGGCAGTGTAGTCAGATGACAAGGAATCTCCCCTAGACCTTCTTGAAAGGGTTGGAGATACCCAGGGGGTGGGGTGGGTCAGGGGTAAAGTTCACTGGGAGCACCTTAGTGGGACCATTTCCATGGACCACAACAGGGAGCGTGTCGTAGGCCACATTCCGGATGCGTACACGATTCCGATCAAACTTTAAAACCACTTCATCTGGGGAAGAAGGGCCAAATCTTAGTCTTTTTTCAGAGCTACCAAGGAACAGTTCCTTCTAAAGATACGAGTCCCAGTTTCTCTAGAGGATAAGGGGATGCCTGGGCCAAAAGACGCCAGGGCCGTGGCCTTTGCTCTCCTGGAAAATCTCTTGCTACCTGTGGGAGCTGGGGAACATCAGAACCTCTGCAGGGACGCAGTTTCCTCCTCTGTATAGGTGAACAACCAGGACAAACCCTGCATAGGATTGTGGTGTTCAGTGTTTTGGTATCTAGCCTGTGCTCAGTAGACGTTAGGGCACTTCATTGCTCCTGCTCTTACTACTGTGGGAGCATAGCCCAGCCTACTCTCGACTTCTTGGACTTCAGCAAAGTAATGTAAACAAGGGTTGGGGACCAGCCCAGTTCCCTCAGCAGCCCCTCCCAATTCAGGAGCCTCAGTAGCAGAGGCTTCTCACTGCCCATCCCCGACTGGCTTTCTTCTCACCTAGAGCTCCGTTAAGGTTCTGGAAGATCCGAGATTTATGATCCAGATTAAGGCGGAGTTTCTCCTGAATAGGATGAGACAGTTCATTGAATGATGGTGGAAGGGGATATCATTTCTCACTCTTCCCTTTTGACATCTCCAACCCCCTTTCATTCCTCTGTCCTATTCATCCTGAGGCCTCCCACCCCCACAGAGCTGCAAGGGCCTCTACTCCTATGCCCCACCCTACCCTCACTCCTGGGTCCAGGTAGAGCCGTGTGTAGAACAGCTGGTCATCGTCATCATCCTTGTACTTCCACTGGCGGACAATTTGGTGGATGGTGGGGGCAAAGCCAATGAATCCTGGGATCGGGGAAGGGTGATATTGACTCTCCCACTCCCTCCCCAGCCTTCACCAGCACCTGGAACCCTTCAGACCCCACCACTCTTGACCTCTCTGCCTTGGGCACTTTGCCACTCACCACCAGAGTTGAGGAAGCGCTTCCCTGTGCCCACCTCAGGGTACTGCTCTGCCAGCCCCCACTCAGGCCAGCAGAAGCTCTCTGCAGAGAAGAGCAGATGGCTGCCACTCTGGACAAACTTCTTCAGCAGCTCTGAGGGGCTGCCGGCCAGAACCACATCGTAGCTGGGTGAGGAAAGGGAGGATGAGCTGTAGGCCGCTGGGAACCTCAGTATCCTTAGCCCTCCTCTGCTCACCCCTCTCCTTTCCCCTCAGCTGCTTTACCTGTCCACAAACATGATGACCATATCCTCCCGGTCTGCGTATTTCTCCATTTCCTTCTTCAGCCACCTGACCTTCTGTCCCCCACCAACTGTGCGAGCCACATCACCTCCTCGCCACTCCTCTCCCAGGCCCAGGGTCTGTGGAGAAGACTCGCCATGCCAGGGAGGGGCTCAGCAGGTCAAGGTATGGGGAGGGGGGCTCCTGACCAGGCTCACCATGGTTTCCCAGGCATCCAGCTGACAGCCCACCTGAGAATCTCCCAAGGGCCCTGAGGGTATCCCCTCTCCTCACCCGAACAGTGTAGTTGAAGAACTCGGCAGACCGCAGGAAACGATGGTATCCCTCTGTCTCGGCTGTGGCCACAGTGATCACCAGCAGCTTCTCTGTCAATAGCTTGGAATGAGCACTCAGGACCACCACCACCCATGCCCCCGCATGTCTTGCTCAAGTCCCTCTAACTCTACTATGGTCTCTTTCCTTTTTTCGGTTCCCTTAAACTCTTCTCACCCAGGAACCCTTTGACCCCAGTGAAAGTCAGGTGAGAGCGACATCCAGGAACTCAGGGTCAGTTCACATGGGTAGGCTGGAAATCCTATTTCAGGTTGCGGAGTGCGCAGAGTTGTGTGACTCAGCCCCAAGGGGCGCTCTGGGAGTGGGGTAGAGGCCAGACATCTCCTCGCGCCCCTATCTCCTCCGGGTCCCAGCTGGCAGACACGTCAGCCCAACGCCTACTTGGCCCTGCCGACCCTCTTCAGGTTCTCACCTGGGTTGACTCGGTCGCTGCCCGGGGGCCGGTCGGAGGACGAGCTCGCAGCAGGCGGCGACAGCAGCAGCAGGGGCGACAGCAGCAGCAGCAAGAGGAGCAGGGGTCCGGGGCCCGAGGAAGCCATGGCGTGGGACAAGCACACAGGCCCACACCGGGCTTGGCTGCACGCCTGGATTCCAACTAGGGAGAGGGGATCTGGGAAGCGGGGACCAGGGCTGCTGTGCGGCCCGCTGTGAGAAGCAGGGCTGGGGCTCCGCCCTGGAAAAATCTCGTAACCTGAGGCTACAGAAAACTCGAGACGCCGGCGCCGCAGACAGGGCGAGGATTGTCCCGG